CCGCGAGCTTTTAGTATGGGATTTTTTGTGCAAACTTCTTTCCATTGTCCTGTTAACACCGAATTAATAGCGTTAAACAAAGCTTCATCTTCTTCTTTGGTCCAAACCAAACGAGGTCTTCTACCGGTTGATGATGATGAAGTGATAGTGGTGGATGGGGATGATGGCAATTGAGGAGGAGATGATTTAAATTCAGTAGTAGTAGTAATAGAGTCGAAACTAGAAGAATTTATTTTACGTCTTTTCGGGAGAGAAGACGGCGACGACGACGATGACGATAATGATAAATCGGAAAACTTTTTCTAATATTTAAATTTATTATTTTCAAATATTTTATATTAAAACTAAGGATTTATTTAAATTTTTTTTTTTCACAGATATGTAAACATACTTCACATATTTCCGTTTTCAAATTTTCTTCTCTTTTGATCGACATGTTTAACGATCGATTATACATATTTTTTTTAAAAATAAAAAAATATTCGTTACAAAATTTTATAAAAAACTGGATGAATGATAAGTAATTGCTTAAAAAATGTAATTTTTTTTTTTTAAAAAAAAACAGAATAATAATGCAGAAACAATCAGTTGTAGTATGATATTTTTAAATGATCTAAAGTTAGATTTACTGAAAAATTAGTATGATATATACATTCGCGTGACATAAATATAATTGTTCTGATTAAATATTTTATTTAAAAAAGCGGGGTAAAATACATAAATACAAAAAGGAAAATAAATAATTTATTGTTTAATTTATTTTTACATTTATATTTTAATTTTAATTTAAATTATGGAAAATTCACTTTCCACTTCGTTCAGTTAAAACACGATCTAAATTAAATGCAGCTAAAAATATTTTTTAAAAAAAATTTCAATAAATTATAATAATAACAATAATAACAACAATAAATCACCCGTTCAATATAATAAATTAATAATAATAATAATAAACTTACCGCTGATAAAAGCAATATGAGTAAATGCCTGGGGGAAATTACCTAACAGTTCACCACTTCTAGCAATTTCTTCACTATACAATCCTAAATGATTTCCGTATCCAATCATTCGTTCAAATATAATTTCGGCTTTCTCTAATAACTTTTTATCATATTTTCCTGCTCGAGTCAAAGCTTCCACTAACCAGAATGTACACATTGAGAATGATCCTTCGTCTCCTCTTAATCCTTATTTATTTTTTAAGAAAAAAATAAAATAAGTAAAAAGTTAGGATATTAATCAATTAAGAAAGAATTTTATATTTTTATTATTTATTATTAATATTTTTTTTTTTAATGGAAAAAGGAAAATTTATACAGAATAGTAAAAAAAAAAATAAATACCATCATGGAAGAAAGGTGCAAAGATTTGGTAATATTTTATAAATTATTATTTTAATTTTATAATTTAATTGATTTAATTAATTAATTAATTTAATCGATCATTATTTTTTTTAACATTTAGAATGAAGATGGGTCACTTAATATAATGTATAGTATTGATGGTCATAAAGAATTGACTGAAATAGAACTTGATCATTTAGAAGGATATTTAGGTTCACGTCCTGTACGTATAGGTAACGGAGCCTATGACCATTTACAACTTGATATTTATGGGGAATTATTGGATGCGGTATATCTATTTAATAAACTTGGTAGTCCAATTTCTTATGATACTTGGGTCAATATTAAAAAAATGGTAAATTATGTTTGTGATAATTGGGATAAACCTGATATGAGTATTTGGGAAGTTAGAGGAAAGCAACAGAATTTTACTTATTCTAAAATTATGTGTTGGGTTGCTGTTGATCGAGGTAAGTATTTTAATATTTTTGTTTATTATTATTATTTTTTTTTTTCATTTTTTTATTTATTTATTTATTTTAGTTATTTATTTTATTTTGTTTTATTTTATTTTATTTTATTTTATTTTATTTTATTTTATTTTATTTTATTTTTTTTTTTTTTTTCTTCGTCATTTTTGTCTCGATAATAAATAACAATAGG